TTTCATCATGAAGGCTTTCGAAGCACCATTTGCTTGTGTCTCTGAAAGCCAGAGGACAGCAGGAGGAGATGCTTATGTTATGTATGTGTGTGTTACCTATGGGGCAGGTCTTGCAGCAGTGTCCGGGCCGCAGCACCGGGTCAGAGCAGTCCAGCTCGGGACAGTCCTGTTTGATGTTCTTACAGTTCACTTTCCCAAACACCTTCCCACGACGGCTCTTTTGCTGCCAGGGGAACAGCATTCAACAAAAATCATCAGCCAATCAAAACGTTTCTCCTTGCTGAATTCATAACATCAAAACTGGACTCTCGCCCTGCGGTATCGCTCTGGAGGTCTTTGTCCAAAAGGTCCTTTTTCACGTTTCATTTGTCAATAACTTTGTCGTGTTACTGCAAATGGCATGATTGTTTTGTAAGAAGGGTATTTTCTCGTGTCCTGAGGGGAAGTTTTAAATCTGACTCTGTGTAAAAACTAATTACACACCAAATCAATGTTTGTTGCTAATCTTTGACATATCCAAGACTGTGATAACAAAAAGCCATTCCCCAGATAAGTATTATATGGAAAATAACTCATTTCCTCTGTTTTTCTCATGAAAAACCAGTGATTTCATGTATAATAAATGGCATTTAAAGGGTTAAAATCCTGCAATTGATTAAATAGTTGGTATTTTCGATCAGGACTGAAGCTGCTTTAAAGTTTGAATCCAAAAAAGTGGTGGAAGAAATATTTTAATATTGTTTTTATCAAAGTTTTTGGCAGTGGACATTTTTGTCCCGAATGACTAATTAGGCAGTGCATTTGAATGATACCGGGTTAGTCACATTAACACATGCCTGTATTACTCTGTGTACTCATGGCATTGTATAGCTGCTACTCTGTTATCTTGGCTCTTGGTCCAATGGGACATTTTTCAGAAAAGCCGTAGAAAAATATGAATTTAATTTAATCGATATATTTAGCAGGAACACAGATTTGTTTATCTATCATATTAACATCAAAACTGGACTCTAGTTACATTCAAACGTGCCTGTATTACTCTGTGTACTCATGGCATTGCTGCTAATCTGTTATCTTGGCTCTTGGTCCAATGGGACATTTTTACAGCATGTCTTTGGAGGAAATGGCATTGACTTATAAAAACTCACAGTTTCGCAGTAACACTGAACACAGTGCATGACTCCGAAGGGCTCGCCCAGGTCTGGGTGCCATGTGTCCTCCAGAGAATAATAGCGACCTCCGAACGAGCATCCTGCAACACAAACACGGTGATTAAACATCTTCAGGGTCTCACTAACTCAACAGTGTTTGTCTCGTTCCAAACCAGAGGCAGGCATGATAACAAACACAGAGGAACATGGGTTTGTGCTTGTGCATAAATGATGGGGAACACAGGATATTTAGATGAACTGTTCTTAATATTTAAGAGGTGGATTTTATGAATTGTCTGACATGAAACTCTGAGCCATTGCATGCACCCTCTTTAACAACAGATACATCTTGCACAGCTCATTGCCCGGGCACGCAGGAGGAAACTGAAACTCTCTGCTTCATGAGTTTTGGATATCACATCCCGTTTCCTCTCAGTGATCCACGAGCAGTCAGGGGAGACGTTCGATTTTCCTCTGACGGACGATCACAGATTCCCAGAAACACACATAACGTAGGCCAGACTTTCAAAAGACTTAATGACGTGAGGAATTTAGGATTTAGCTGTAAATGCTATACGACCGTAAGTGAGGAGGTACTTTAAAGTGGACCTTTGGGACCGTTTTGTTTGGTTCAGAATATGAGAATTGAAATGAAACAATGACTGTAGGACTACAGAGGTGTTTACTGTACACCCACACCACGGGACATTTGAGCCAAAGAGGCAGAAGTGCCACGTTGAGTATTTTATATGACAAAAAAAGGGTTTTCATTGCTATATTTTCTGTGCTAAAAGTCAGAAAAGGAAACTGAAATAAAGACTGATTAGTTGGAATTAACAGAAAGTCGGGTTTTGGCACATAAAACATGTTTGTTATAACACATCATAGGACCCTGATTTTGATCAAACTGTGGTACCATTCACTGAAGTCAGAATATATTGAGCATTTCTATAAAAATTGCATATAAAAAACACATATTAAACAGTTTGAGCACAGTGATTTTGGCACTAACCCTTTCCTAACTAATGCAGAATGTGTTATTTACACTTCAATGAACACCAAATGAAATCCCAGTATCTCAAAAGGTCTTTAAAATTCCATGATGCAAGGACTTTGGTATTGTGTTTTCTGCTAAAAAAAAGACACAATGAAAACATTTTCAAATGGTCTTATGAGCCAATGTTCTGCATTGGTTTAGTGGAACAATGTGCCAAAAACAGGCCTCTTGCACTCTTTTGCCATTTGATGTTTCATTTGCTCAATCGGATTCTACAAAAAGCTCAAATATTGTCTTCAGTACATGTTAACAGCTTCTACTTACACCTTCTTGGCAAAAAACAATGCCTTTGAATGGTCTATTAAGAAACAATGTTAACTGCACTTTTTACTGTTTCACTCAAAATCCAGTGTGCTTACTGCTTAGAGCCATAACCGTATAAAACACTAATGTATGCTGCCGGCTCTGTGTAATGTTTTTACAGGAGATAAAACCCAGCTTTGACTTTAATTAGTGAAGCCATTATTGAGTGTTAGTCACGCTGTGTTACTATGAATATCTCAGTGATTTTGGGTTAGGATAACAGCCTGAGAGCAGTGTGTGTGTGTGTGTGTGTGTGTGTGTGGTGTGTGTGTGTGTGTGTGTGTGTGTGTGTGTGTGTGTGTGTTGTGTTTCTGCGCGCTGCTACCAACCTGGTTCACATTATTCCTTCATTAAAGTGACTGCACACTTTGAGCAGTCCAGTTAAAGGAGAGCCAAACTGTGAGGCTGCCACTTCTGTCTCTGCACAAATAAATCATCTCAGAGCAGCCAATGCTTGTAATGTAATGGAAAGTCGATTGATTACAGTTTCCAGAGAATTGCACCGTAAGGCAGGCAGCGTTTAAGAGTTCCCACAGTTTGAACTGCAGAGCAGTTACC